CCAGGGGAGATGGGCATGGCACAGTTCCTTCTCCGTTTCTCATTTTGGAGTCTTGGGTACACACACACACACACACACACACACACACAAACACCTGCCATGTTTTTCAAGCTGCCAGGGCTGATATTCAAACCATGAAGTTGGTTATGTGGGAGCCAGCTGTCTCAATCTCCATGCCAGTGGCTGAACCTCCCTCCCCATTCATGTTATTACAAAATGTTTTTATGTACAAAACTATGTTTTTATTGGTTTGTGTGTTTTAAAACATTGCATGAATGACAAATGTTATAGGTGTCTTTTTGTAAATTACTTTTTTAATATGTTAAGATAAATATTTAATACAGAAGTTCTGATTTAAAGCTATATTTGAACTTTATAGTAACATAATAAGTTATTTACCCATTGAGAGATAATTTGTTTCTATTTTTTTTCCCTCTTATAAGTAATGCTTTATTAAATGTCTTTGTAAAGGTTTCTTTGGGCACATATTCCTGAGGTTCTGTAAGGCAGAAACCTAGAAATGGAGTCTGCAGGCTTGAGTGGATTCTATGGTGTTCTAAGTGTCCCCGTTGTTGTATTAGTTTGCTTGAGCTGTCATAACAAGGTACCATCAGTTGCACAGCTTAAACAACAGAAATTCATTTTCTCACAATTCTGAAGGCTGTAGAGGTCTGAGATCAAGGTGCGGCAGGGTGGTTCTTCTGAGGCCTCTCCCCTTGATGGCTAGATTGTTCTTCTCTCTGTCATCACCTTTCTTTCGCTTGTACATGTCTGTGTCTTAATCTCTTTTTATAAGGATATCAGTCATATTGGATTAGGCTCCACTCCAGTAAATTCATTTTATTAGATTATTGGAAAGTCATGATATATTTTTCTATGAAAAAATGCATCATGATTTTCCTGACAACCCAATAGTTTAATTATCTTTTAAAAGACTCTATCTCGCCCTGGCCTCGTGATCTAGTGGTTAAGAGGGGCTAGATCCAAGATATCCAACTGCATGGCTCTGGTCCCAGGTACGGCAGTCTGAAAAACCTTGAAAAGCACTCTGGAAAAATCCCCAGAGGAGGAAGAGATGAAGGAGACGAGATTGCGGTGTGCCCATGCCTGCTTAGGATGCCTTTTCCCTCTCTCTCTGGCCAGTATAACCATCCTCTGACTCTGTCTCCAAATATATCGACCTCAGTCATGTTCTGAGGTGCCGAAGGTTAGGACTTCAACATATGCATTCGAGGGGGCTGCAGCAGCTCGTAGCATTTGCTTGTCTGTGTTTTCTGCTCTCTAGCAGGGAAGTCTTCTTTTCCCTTCGTTCTTATTTGTCTCCCTACGGTTTCTCTTTCATAATGGTGAGTAATCATAATCCTTACAAACATATAGTCTGGTTACTTCATAGATAGAAATTTGTGGATTTGTCCATTCAAGTACATTTATCTACAAACACAAAAGACGGGTGTGAGTGCCAGATGTGTGTGGGGGGGGTGAGGCCTAGGGAAGGGCATTTGGAGGAGGGGTACAAAGGCAGAGCACTGACAGGATGGGGAGGTGTGGTGTTATCTGTTGAAGATATTTTGACCAACTGGACTGGGGAGAAATGTTCACATTTTGAAACATTCACTTTGTAAGCAAAGCAATGTGATTGAATGTATATAAAAAATAAATAAACACTTAAAAAAAGTGCATTTATCTATCAAATGAAATTTGTCTTGTTGAAAGTTAAAGGACTAGCTTCATGGCCTCGTGGTGCAGGGAGATGATCACACATGGTCAGCTGTGGTTTGAGTTCTGGTCCCAGTGGTCTGGAAACACCCCAGGTATGTGTGTGTACATGCCCCAGGTCCTGAAAGGATGGCTAGATGGAGAAGGTATTGCCATTTGCCCAGGCCCCGCTGGAAGGTGCTTTCTCCCTCTGCTTCCCTGTTTTCAGGAGCAGAGGCAGACGTGCTTGCCATGTCCTGTCCTCTGCTGTGCTCGACGTGAATGTGGTGTGTGTACATACCTTTGCAGCCGGTCTAGCTGTTGGTCCCTACCACATGAGCCAAGTAGCGAAGCCTCGGAACTTTTCTGTGGAGAAGACTATGCATATGCACAAAGATAGCTGTGATATTTTAATCATTGTGTTTTTCGTAAAAAGTAAATGTATTTCCCAAAATAGTTACATGTTGATAAATGTAGATAGTAGAATATCATAGGTGTAAAAATACTGACAAAATCTATGTAAAGTTGTTATAGTGATTACCTTTTTTTTGCAATGACATATAGCTTGGTTTTTTTTGTTTGTTTGTTTTTTGTTTTTCCTTAGGTTTTTATTACAGGGTGCATTCACTTGCTGGAAAGAGAAAGTGAGAAATCACCCCCCGGGGGGTTGGCCATGCTGCAATCCTTCCTCTATTCTGGGATTTGGAGCATGCACACACATGGGCCTAGCATGATTTTCAAGCTACCAGTCTGGGACTCAAGCTGCTGTTCATCTTATGGCAGTCTAGCTCCTTAACTATGCCACCTGCTGGCTCCCTATAGCTAATTTTTAAATAAGTATTTTTTTTTTTAGAGGTTTTTTCTATAGGGCGCATTCGCTTGCCAGAGAGACAGAGAGAGACAGAAAGTGAGAAATCACCCCCCAGGGGGATGACCACACCTCAGTCCCTTCTCCTCCATTCTCCTCTCGGGATCTTGGGCATACATGCACACGTGCCCAGCATGAGTTTAAGCCACTGGGTCCGGGACTCAAGCCGCGGTCGACTACATGGGAGTTCAGCAACACAGCCATTACGCTAACTGCTGATCCCTTAAATAAGTATTTTTATCATACTTTTAAACATATAGAAAATAGAATAAAGTAATACAGTGAGCATACAGATACATTCCAGTGAGATTTATTGACATTGTATCAATATGTGCTTCACACACATATACATACATACACACATTTTGAAAAACTATCTAAAATGTTTTAGAGATGGTATGCTTCACTCCTAAACACTTCAGTATGCAAATTAGGTAACATTCTTCCATAAACTACAATACCTGTATCACAGCTCGTAAAATTAGAAAAATCATCTAATATAATTTAAAATCTAGTCTGTGTTCAAGTTTCCTTCTTGCCCCCAGGCTCAGTGTGTCTTTCACAGATAACTTTGCAAACCAAGATCTAATCAAAGATTGCACATTACATTTGATTGTTATATTCCTTAACTAACTTTTGATTTATAATGAGTACCCACCCTCTTCACCTTTTCTTTCCTGACACTGGTATTTTGAAGGAATGGGGCCAGTTTTCTTTTGCCACATTCCATATTTGGGACCTGTCTGATTGTTTCCTTCATAGTGTTATTTATTGGGTCATTGGAAAAATTATGATACATTCTAGCTTAGAAAAATATGTCTTGGGACCAGCAGTTAGTGTATTGGCTATGTCACTGGACTCCCATGTAGTCGTCCGCGGTTCATGTCCTGGACCCAGTGGCTTAAAACTCACGCCGGGCGCGTGTGCGTCCGTGCCCAGGATCCCGAGAGGAGAATGGAGGAGAAGGGATTGCGGCGTGGCCATCCCCTCTGGGGGTTGATTTCTTGCTTTCTGTCTCTATGTGTCTCTCTGTCTGTCTGGCAAGCACATGCACCCTATAGCAAAAACCTCTCAAAAAAATTAAAAAAAAAAAAAAAAGAAAAATATGTCTTGATTTTTCCAACAACCCAGTAATTTGTCACTCTATCTGTAGTATATCCTGCAAGTGGGAAATTTGATCTAAAGTCTTGACAAAATTCCAATTAAATTTTCGATCAAGCATAATACTTTCTACTGCATCACAAATCAGAAAGTATCATTGTTTGATTCCTAGCAATGCAAATTGAATTTGGATCCTAAGGATCTTTTTATTATTAAAAAAATAAGCTTTTTCACACAGCCAACTAGCAAGAATTCTAGTGAGGACATAGATGAATCTTTTATCTAATAGTTCTTGTATCACATGTCTTAAAGGGACCAGCAGTTAGCGTAATGGCTATGTCGCTGAACTCCCAAGTAGTCGACCGCAGTTCAAGTCCCGGTCCCTGTGGCTTAAACTCACGCCGGGCATGTGTGCATGTGAGCCCAAGATCTCGAGAGGAGAATGGAGTAGAAGGGATTGGCGTGGCCATGCCTGAGGGGCGATTTCTCGCTTTCTGTCTCTCTGTCTCTCTCTCTTTCTGGTGAGCGCACGCACCCTATAGCAAAATAAACCTCTCAAAAAATGTCTTTAATATTATTTTCCATTAACTTTTTAACTTATTTTTCCTTAGGATGTTTTTGTTTTGCTGTAGGGTACCTCTCTGGAGAGGGACAGGGAGAGACAGAGAAAGAGAAAGTAAGAAATCACTGCCCCAGGGGTGATGGCTATACCGCAGTCCCTTCTCTTTCGTTCTCCTCTCAGGAGTTTGGGCATGCATGCACATGGACCTGACAGTGTTTTCGAGCTGCCAGGTCTGGGACTAGAATTGTGGTCAGAGTCAGCCATGTGGGAGGCCAGTGCCTTCATCACCACGCCACCCACTTGCCCCAACTCTTCAAGTTTTTAACATTTCATGTATTAAATGTTTAAAAACACCTGCTTTCTTTAATTCATAAAAATTTATACAAAAGTGAGATTCATTGTTAAGATGATGGTGGATTTACTCCTTAATTGAAATGTCGTGCCTGCCTTCTTTTTGATTTTGCTTTAAACTCATATAATAGCCAGTATTATAGGCACTAGTGTGCTGAGATTAACATACTTCCCAAAGCATCAAAATCAAGGAAATCTCGACATATGGGAAGCCGTGGGGGAATTATTGGTGGTCCAGAGGGAAATGGTCAGTCAGCATAAGAAGCAGGGTGGTGGTGGTGGTGGTAGTGGTGGTAATGGTGGTGATGATGGTGGTGGTGGTGGTAATGGTGGTGGTCATGGTGGTGATGATGGTGGTGGTGGTGGTAATGGTGGTGGTCATGGTGGTGATGATGGTGGTGGTGGTGGTAATGGTGGTGGTCATGGTGGTGATGATGGTGGTGGTGGTGGTAATGGTGGTGGTCATGGTGGTGATGATGGTGGTGGTGGTGGTAATGGTGGTGGTCATGGTGGTGATGATGGTGGTGGTGGTGGTAATGGTGGTGGTCATGGTGGTGATGATGGTGGTGGTGGTGGTAATGGTGGTGGTCATGGTGGTGATGATGGTGGTGGTGGTGGTAATGGTGGTGGTCATGGTGGTGATGATGGTGGTGGTGGTGGTAATGGTGGTGGTCATGGTGGTGATGATGGTGGTGGTGGTGGTAATGGTGGTGGTCATGGTGGTGATGATGGTGGTGGTGGTGGTAATGGTGGTGGTCATGGTGGTGATGATGGTGGTGGTGGTGGTAATGGTGGTGGTCATGGTGGTGATGATGGTGGTGGTGGTGGTAATGGTGGTGGTCATGGTGGTGATGATGGTGGTGGTGGTGGTAATGGTGGTGGTCATGGTGGTGATGATGGTGGTGGTGGTGGTAATGGTGGTGGTCATGGTGGTGATGATGGTGGTGGTGGTGGTAATGGTGGTGGTCATGGTGGTGATGATGGTGGTGGTGGTGGTAATGGTGGTGGTGGTGGTAATGGTGGTGGTGTTGGTGGTGGTAATGGTGGTGGTGGTGGCCTACTGACTTTTAGTCCTGGCTTTCCTGTTCCTGGTTCATCCTGGCTCTGCCCTGAGAGCTGGTGGAGAGTAGAGTTCCATGGAGTAGCTTTTGACTTGGTGTTATTTGGATTATTTCCGGGGGACATGGAGGAGTGGAGTTCTCACTTTCATCCCTTGAAACTTGACTTTCATTTTTATTCCCTTGAGCATTCTCTTATGTGTTATTTAGCTACTCCAGAGATTGGGGAGGAGTAAGATAGATCTTGTTCCTCTTTATTTCCATATCCAATAAACCACAACACAGGTTTCTCTCTGAAAATCAACTAAAGCAATAGTAGCTGGGTAAATTCGACTATCTTCTGACCAAATGGCAGAACATTTGATACCAATTTTCCACTGTTTGAAGGGAGCCGTATTATTTTTTTCCTGGCATTTATTCTTCTTAACTGGTTTTCTTTTGGTGTGCCTTTTGATTTATCTGAAGTTTTACAAATGTTCTTTAGTGCATCCTCAAATGAAGCCAGAGCTTTATCATCAGCTTTTATCAATGCTGTATCCTCCCAGATGTCAGAGTCATCACTCCATCCTGGGCTGCAACAGGGCAGCATGGAGTCTTCCTGCTCCAGGATGCCACTGCCACCACTGCTGCCCATCTCCCTGGCGAGCCTACTGAGGGATGTGCAGCCTACAGCTCCATCCCTTCGGAGAGTCTATAATGATGATCTTGATTATCTTTGTATTACTTAACTTTTTAAATGTCTGTCTTAGTTTCTTATTTTCTTACAAAAATATGTTTATAATTAAGAAAAATTAAGTTGCTTTGCAAATCCACAGAGGAAAATAAGAAAGGATATTATGTAATGTTCATTAAGAGTTGTGTACTCACCAAACATAGATTTAAAAACTGTTAAAATAGGGACCAGCAATTGATGTAATGGCTATGTCACTGGATTCCCATGTAGTCAATCGCAGTTCAAGTCCCAGACCCGGTGACTTAAAACTTATGCCAGGTGCATGTGCATGTGTGCCCAAGATCCTAGGAGGAGAATGGAGGAGAAGGAATTGTGGCATGGCCATCCATTCTGAGGAGTGATTTCTTCTTTTCTGTCTATCTGCCTCGCTCTGTCTTTCTAGTGAGCGCATGTGCCCTATATCAAAAACCTCTCCAAAAAAAAAAAAAATTTTTTTTAAATAATTGTGTATGGGAGGATATAGATGAAAAATTTCAAGTCTATGATAATTCCAGTAGGTGGAAGGAAGATGGTTAAAATTTTAATTGAGCTTTTAAAAATTTTAATTCCTTTTTAAAATTATTTTTGCTATAGGGTATGTGCACTTGTTTAGAGAGACAGAGATAGAAAGTGAGAAATCACCCCCAATGGGAGATGATCACACCACAATCCCTTCTCCTCCATTCTCCTCTTGGGATCTTAGGCACGTACACACATGCACCTGGCATGAGTTTTAAGCTGTTGTTTTAGTGATGTGGGAGTTCAGCAACATAACCGCTACCCCATCTGCTGGTACCTAAAATTGTAATTCTTAAAGCTATAACTTTTTTAATCACTAGTTATTTATCACTATTATTATTATTTTAATTTGCTAGAGAGCACATGCACTCACTGGAGAGAGAGAAAGAGAGAGAGAGAGGGAGAAAGTCAGCCATGTGGAAGTTCAGCTCCTCAACCACATGCTATGATTGAGTCTCAATTTTATCTCCTTTTAGTTATAAATACTACAGTATTTAGTCTTTTTCTTCTGCATAACAGTATACATTTAGAAACTTTCAGACAGAATGGAAGTCATTAAGTATTGACAATGTATCATTTTTATGGACAAAAAGTACAAAGTTTGAAATATCAATAATTTAACATTGTTTTCTGTCTCATAATTCTTTCAGGCATAGATGTGCCCGAGATCAATGAGGAACAGAGCAAAGTTTATAACAATGCCTTGATAAACTGGCACCATCCAGAAAAGGAAAACGCTGATAGCTATGTTCTTGAATACCGGAAGATTAACAGAGATGACGAAATGTCATGGAATGAGATACAAGTGTGTGGCACAAGTAAAGTCGTTTCAGATCTTGAAAACAATTGTAACTACGCTTTCAGAGTGAGAGCCTACAGGGGTTCAATCTGTAGTCCTTGCAGCAGAGAACTGATTCTCCATACTCCTCCAGCTCCAGGTATTATGCATGCTGGAAATACAAAAAGTAAGGGTTGGAAGAGACCCTGATGTAGTAAACCAGTTGGTGTCTCTATGTAGACTCCACTGAGCCAGCTCTTGTTTTTAAGACTCCAGAAAAGTAAATTTGATACCTAGCTAGGATTTAGAAATGAACCAAATACTTGAATTTCTTCTCATAGAAGAAATCTGAGAACAGATTTCAATTCTTTCTTTGCTTTTGCCATAGGGCACATACACTTACTGGGTAGAGACATAGAGAGGGAAAGTGAGAAATCACCCCTGGGGGAATGAACATGCTGCAATCCCTTCTCCCCCATTCTCCTCTTGGGATTATGAGCATATACACACACATGCATGTGGCATGATTTTGTTTTGGAGAGGTGTTTTGTTTTTTGGGTTTTTGTTTGTTTGTTTGTTTTTGTTACAGGGCATGTGTACTTGCCTGAAAGACAGAAAGCGAGAGAAATCACACCCCTGCCCCAGGAAGGACGGCCACACCACAATCCTTTCTCTTCCATTCTCCTCTTGGGATCTTGGGCACGCACACACATGCGCCTGGCACGAGTTTAAGCCACCAGATCCAGGACTTGAACTGCGGTCAACTACATGGGAGTCTAGCGACATAGCCATTATGCCAACTGCTGGTCCCCACCTGGCATGATTTTCAAGCTGCCAAGACTGGGACTTGAACTGCATTTGACTGTGTCGGAGTCTAGCACCTTAACTACCACCCCACCTACTGGCCCCCAGGATTAGATTTTTGACTGGCATCAAATAGAGAAAACACGAAAGGAAGACATTTGAGCCAGCCAGGGCTATTATGTTGGGATTAAAATACCATAAGTGGTACATTAAAAGTTTGTAAATATTATTTATTTTTGTATGTAAAAATGCATCGTGACTTTTTCGATGACCCAATAGTATGATTTTTAATTTTTGGTCAGTTTATGGAAATCTCTAATAAAAGATAGGATCTAGGTAGATATTTTTCAGTTTAATAGGTTTAATATCCTGATATGTAATTTTGACTTGCTTGAGTGTTCTGTCTGACTCAGTGTGCTCAGCACATGTGGGTGGAAGGCAGGTGCTGGAACTTCATGGGTAGCTTCCCCTCCACATGCTAAAAGCTCCTCATGCTCAACCTCCACCCTTCTTCTTTCAAGATAAAGATTGCAGATGCTTCACAGAGTGCCTATAGGTTTCAGAGTGGAATTAACTTATAGATAGGTGATATTTCCTATTGTGTCTCTATGAATGAGGGGACATTTAGAACCAAAGTTGTGTTCTGTCCAGGTAGGCAGGGAAATATTTTGCTACTTCATGTCCTTAGAGACACCTTCAATTGGTTTTTAGATCCCCATTGTCTTCTCATCTCTACTGGCTTATGTACCCGAATTTTCTCTATACTGCCCTTCCTTCTCTTTTTATTCAAAATAGAGAAGTATTACTTGCTTTTCATGCACACTGTGGCTTAAAAAACTAGAATATAAATATATAGGGTTGGCTAAAACTATTTCTTTCAATTTTAGTAAAAATCCAGTAGAAAGTTTCAATAAAATCCAATAGAGAGTTTCAGATGAATAAGTATCAAGTATCTTCTGGTTTACACTATCTCTGCTTTCTTTTCTAGTTAGAAAGCAGAAGCAAAAACCTGGCCATGGCTGCTGTTTTCAGTAATGCAGTGGAGGGGAAAGGAGGAAGGGAAATGTTTGGGTTCTCTTTTCTCTGAGAGAAGCCACATGAATAGGATGGCCCTGAATTTGTTGTGCAAATGAGGAGACTTTTGTGATTGAGAGGAAGCATGTAACTATGCTAGGGTAATGGCTTTACCAGGAAGAACAGTTGGCCTGCATATGAGGAATGGCTGTAGCTTTTCAGGCACCCATTTACAAATTTTGGTATTATATGGATAAAATTTACCATTTTCATCATTTTGAAGTGTACAGCTTAGTGGCATTAATTACATCCACAGTATTGTGCAGCTGTCACCACTCGCGTTTTCAGAACTTGGCAATCGTCCCTACTGAAGCTCTGGGCCCATCAGATGACTCCCTGCCCCACTCCCTAGAACCCTAGTGACCTTGATTCTATTTTCTGTCTCTTTGACTTTGCCTAATTGGCAAAATCTAATTGCCTAATGTAAGTGAAATCTTGTAATGTTTGTTCTTTTGCATATGGCTTATTTGAAGAATTATCCACATTGTATCAGGTTTCAGACTTTCCTCCTCCTCTAAGGCTGAATTATGTTCTGTTTTATGTATGGACCACATTTTCTTTATCCATTCATCTATTGTGGGACATTTGGGTTATTTTCCAGTTGACTAGCAGCCAGTGTTGTGCTTAGTGGATTTGAGATGATAGAGATTTAGGAAAGTGGCATTATTTCCATTCCATAGTTTAGGAAATTAAAGTTTAGTTCCATCTCTAGTTAAATGCCTGAGCACGGATTCAAACCCAGGTCTCTTTGAACTCAAAGCCTTTACTTATTTTCTTCTTTTTACATTTCTTTATCTTGTTTTTCATGTCTACTATGTTAAATGACAAAGAAAAGGCTTTATTAAAATAACTAAAATTTTCCAAATTTGCAAAATTTGCAATACATAATTAAGAAAATATATACTTATGAAAACGTACAACTCTTTAAGGATAAAAAACAGATTCAGTAGTGTACAATATCTATGAAAGATTTGTTATCTCTATTCCAAAGAGTAAGTAGCATTTATAACATTTCACTTTTTAAAATGTCTTCGGCCTTTGAGATTTCTGCAGTGTTTGTTGTAGAGACTCTGCTGGAAGTTGCTGCGAGGTCTGGGTTTTTGTCATCATTGTCTGGAGTACTATGATACCGTCTCATCTCATTAATTCCTATTTAAAAAAAGTATCAAGTTTAAATTATGAAAATGCTAGTAAATGATGTTCAGACTTTAAGTTAATCTTAAGTCTTATTTAGTTTTCAGCTTCCTGTTTGATGAAAAGTGTGGCTATAACAATGAACACCTCTTGCTGAACTTGAAGAGGGACCGGGTAGAGAGCAGAGCTGGATTTAATCTTCTTCTTGCTGCAGAACGGATCCACGTGGGTTATTACACAAGCTTAGACTATATCATCGGAGATGTTGGCATTACAAAAGGGAAGCACTTTTGGGCCTTCCGTGTGGAACCATATTCTTACTTGGTAAAAGCTGGAGTTGCTTCCAGTGATAAACTACAAGAATGGCTCCGTTCTCCCCGGGATGCAGTTAGCCCAAGGTAGATTCTTATATTGATGTAGAACTTGATCATTCTTCTAAAGTAAATACCCTTGTTTAGCAAAATAAGTCTGGAAATAGACTCAGATTTATTTACTACATTTGGGGTATGCTTTTGGGAGATTCTAATATTTTAGCTACTGTTGGGTTGTTGGAAAAGTCATGACATTTTTTCTGTTTTTCTATGCAAAATATGTTACTGCTTTTCTGATAACCCAACATGTTTGGGTGGGTGGCTGAGCAAAGGAGACCAGCTGCCTTGAGTTACACCTTTAATAATGGAATTTATCAGGTAATTTCTGATGCCATGAGGAAATCTGTTTTGGACACCTCTTGATTATAATACAAATTCACAATTATAAATTGTGAAAGCCTTTTACCTATCACCTAAATTATGTGGTAAAAGTGGCCATATATAGTGAAGTACCTCTGATTATCATGTTTTGCATTTGGTATTAAGTTATTTTATTTTGGGACCCAAGTTTTTAAACTTTCTCATAAATCCATTACAAAATTGGATCACATTAGATGTGTTCATGGCATATAATTGCAGTGTCTTAAGCGATTCACCAATAGCAATTGTATAAGCTAGGTCTAAATGGAGCAAGGTGTACTAACCTAGACAAATAATTGTTGATCACTTATGGGAACAGTAATCTGAATGATAGGAAAGATCTTTTGCACAAAGATAATACATGTTTTTAATTTCTGGATCTGAAAAATGCAGTAGGGAAATAGTTAAACATAGTAGCATATGCACTTAATACAGTATTAGTATGAATGTTTAAAAATATGGGAACCAGGAGATGGCAGAATGGTTATGTTGCTGGACTCCCTAACATAGTCAACCATGGTTCAAGTCCTAAACCCAGTGGCTTAAAACTCACACCAGGTGTGTGTGTGTATGTGTGTGTGTGTCCAAAATCCTGAGAGGAAGAATGGAGAAGGGATTGTGGCATGGCCATCCCTCCTGGAGAGGTGATTCTCTCTCTCTGTCTTTCTCTGTCTTCCCAGAGCAAAAATCTCTTTCAAAAAAAGTTTATAGCATAAGAAATAATGGAAGTGAAAACTGATTAAAATTGTTGATGCATTATAATCCCAAATATATAAAAAGCAAGTAATACATATGAAAAAATGGAAGGAGCATGTATGAAAATTTTTATAATTTGTTAGAGGTTTTTGCTATAGGGCATGTGTGCTTGCAAAAAAGACAGAGACAGGGAGACAGAAAGCAAGAAATCACCCCCAGGGGGGATGACCACACCACAATCATTTCTTCTCCATTCTCCTCTTGAGATCTTGGGCATGCACACACATGTGCCCAGCGTGAATTTAAGCCACCAGGTCCAGGAGTCGAACCGCGGTGGACCACATGGGAATCCAGCGACATAGCCATTATGCTATTTTGCTGGTCCCACAATTTTTATAAATTTTTATTGTTTCATAATACAGGAAAAAACCCTTCATAATCCTTGTTTACATCATAGATTCATGTAGAAATCCTCAGCAAAAATAAGGTTCTTAGGAGAAGAATGACACATGGCTTTTTTTTTTTCTTTTCTTTTTTCATTATTTTGAAGTGCCCATTTATTTTACTTAGTCTGGATTTTATTTTAATTCCTTAGATTAAGTCACACATCATGTATTTTCTTATATATGATTGTTTGCTACAAATATTTCCTCTTTGGCCAGCTCCTTCATTCCCCCTCCCCCATTTTATTTTTGATAGACCCAAGTTATTACTGATTTTTTTTTTTTTTTAAGATATTCACTTGTATATCTATCTAGGGAAAAGTAGATGATTTTTGTTTTGTTTTGTTTTGCTTTTAGTTTTTTCTATAGGCACGTGTCCATGCCAGAAAGTGAGAGAGGAAGTGAGAAACCACCCGTCAGGGGACATGGCCTTGCTGCAGTTCCTTCTTCTCCAGTCTCTCTTGGATTTTGGCCACACATGCACATGCACCTGGCGTGATTTTCAAGCTGCTGTGTCTGGGACTTGAACCATGCAGTCGGCCATGTGGGATCCAGCACCTTAACCTCCATGCCACTTGCTGCTACTTGACTAGATGTTTAATGACAGGGAATTTAGGACTGAATCTGTGACTTAATTCTAAGGTTTTTTTTTTTTTTTTTGGAGAGGTTTTTGCTATAGGGCACGTGCACTTCCCAGACAGAGAGAGACAGAGAGACGGAAAGTGAGAAATCACCCCCGGGGGGATGACCACGCCACAATCCCTTCTCCTCCATTCTCCTCTTGGGATCCTGGGCACGCACGCACACGCGCCTTGTGTGAGTTTTAAGCTATCGGGTCTGGGACGCAAACCGTGGGCGACTGCATGGGAGTCCAGAGTCCAACGATATAGCCATTAGGCTAACTGCTGGTCCCAAAGTTAGTTTTTTTTTTTTTTGAGAGATTTTCACTGTAGGGCGCGTGTGCTCGCCAGACAGACAGAGAGAGACATAGAGACAGAAAGCGAGAAATCACCCCCCAGGGGGGATGGTCACGCCGCAATCCCCTCTCCTCCATTCTCCTCTCGGGATCTTGGGCACGCACGCACACGCGCCCGGCGTGAGTTTTTTAAGCCACCGGGTCCGGGACCCGAACCGTGGTCGACTACGTGGGAATCCAGCGACATAGCCATTACGCTAACTGCTGGTTCCCCCAAAGTTAGTTTTAATAGGAAATTTTCAATGTAAACTTTTTTTCTTTACTTTAAATGTATTATCTTGTGAAAATGTTTTAAAGATACTTGAAGACCTATGGATGAGGTACAGACAATTTCTTTGTGTGTTGCATTTTAGATATGAGCAAGACAGTGGGCACGACAGCGGAAGTGAAGATGCCAGTTTTGATTCTTCACAGCCCTTTACGTTAGTTACTATAGGCATGAAGAAATTCTTTATACCCAAGTCACCTACCTCTTCCAATGAACCTGAAAGTAGAGTTCTTCCCATGCCAGCAAGTATTGGGGTCTTCCTTGACTATGACAAAGGCAGAGTGAGTTTTTACGACGCAGATCACATGAAATGCCTCTACGAGCGCCAGGTGGACTGTGCCCACACAATGTACCCAGCATTCGCATTAATGGGCAGTGGAGGGATTCAGCTGGAAGAACCCATCACGGCGAAGTACCTGGAATACCACGAGGACATGTAGTTTAAATCTCTAATGTGACTTAGGGTAAAGGGGAGCAAAAAACCATGCCTTGGTGTTAAAGCTTCATAACTGATTACACGTGGTCTTGTACTCTGTCACCACACTTGTCTTCTGTGGGTGATTCTTGAAACAGAACCAGAACAGCCTCGCCCCTCCCTGTCGCCGTTCTGCCTCTTACAAACGATGGGAGCGAGGATGCTCTTTCCAGGTTACACTGCAGTGCTTAACCTGGGCTCTTTCCTTTCTGCACGGGAAATCTCACTGATTTATGTCAGCTGGTACTGCTGAGTCGTACATGGCTTTTTTCAGGAGGAGGGAGGGTGGATACAAAATTATTTATTATGCTTCTTTTGTGTTTGTTTTTTCATTTTTATGTCATGTTAATGTTCTAAGAGAAGATATTTTTTAAATGGCTGTGAATAGAAATTAGTACTTAGCTGTATGTCTTAAGATTTGTTTTAATAGGAAAACAAAAGTGTAGATAGGCAAAAAGGAAAAGGCTGTAAAAATGGTAGCATATTTAAGTGGAAAATTATGTATTTTAAAGTGTGTAATTACCTATTAAGCATATAGTGTCTGGAAAATGAACATCGCTGGCTTTTGGTTTTGTTTTAAGATCATAAACCATATCATTAGTATATTTTTAAGAGTTCCTTTGCTGTCCTGCCTGTTAACTGGCAAGTGTGGTAAATATGTTTCTGGTAGGAAACACAGTTCTCAGCAAACATGTGAAATTTTCTTTTTTTCTCAGAAAAAATTATCCTTAGTTTTTCTTACTGTATGAAAATATTTTTGCTCCTCTCAACAAAATTGTTTTTCAGAAATACCAGTGAAGAGGGACCAGCAGTTAGCATAATGGCTATGTCGCTGGACTCCCATGTAGTTGACCGCGGTTCGCATCCGGGACCCGGTAGCTTAAAATTCACGCTGGGCATGTGTGCGTGCGTGCCCCAGATCCCAAGAGGAGAATGGAGGAGAAGGGATTGCGGCGTGGCCATCCCCCCTGGGGGGTGATTTCTCGCTTTCTGTCTCTCTGTCTCTGTCTGGTGAGCGCATGCACCCTATAGCAAAAACCTCTAAAAAAAAAAAGAAAGAAATACTAGTGAAGACAGACTGATTTGAAGTCAGATTTTTTCTTTTGCCTTCTTATTTGCCTTCTGATTTATTTTGCACAAATGACATCCAAAATTTTCCTGCTTTATGTTTACATGTTTGAAAAGTTCATGATATATTTTTAATAACGTTAAATATACTGTGAAATGTGGGTGATTTCTGTGAACTAATTGTTTAGTTGTATGGCATTTTCTATGGCTCATTACTTAGTAATAAGCATTTGTAATATGAGCAAGTAAAATACAAATTGTTTAGGAGTAATAATTAAAACCATAATGACTATGTGTACCCAATTTCTTTAAAAAAAAAAAAAACAAAATAAAACTTTCATTTGACAGTGTGTGTGCACTCACCAGAGAGAGGAGGGAAGTGAGAAAGCACCCACCCTTGGGATAGTCACGCCACACTCCATTCTTCATTTCTCTTTTTTTGGGATTTTGATCACTCACACGCATGAACCATGTGTGATCTTCAGACCACAGGGTCCAGGATCTGAACTGCTCAATTGGCCTTTTGGGATCCAGACACCTTAACCACCAGGCTGCTGCTGGGCCCGTTTTTCTTAATTTGAAGAATTATATTTTATCTAAATTGTGTGTTCATTTTTGAAAAATAATATTTTAGGTAGGTAGGTAGTTTTATTTAAACTTTATTTTTTTCAAGTTAAAATGTTCAGAACTGATAGATTGTTAATGCATTTTAGCACTAATCACCAATGGGATGCTTTTGACATATTTTAAGAGTAACCAAAATTTAAGTCTGTTCTGTTCTGTTCTTTTTTGCCAGAGGGTACATGAGTTTTCCAGAGACACAGCGAGCTAAAGGGAGAGAGAAAGCACCACCTAATGGGATGTGGTTGCACCACAGTCCCTTCTTTTATCCTCCCCGTGGGATTCTGGGCACGGGCACACACACGCCTGGCTTGTTTTTCTGAGCTGCTAGGGCCAGGATTCAAACTGAGGTTGGCTGTATGGGGTTGGACTCTCTTCAGCACTAGGCTATGGGGCCAACTTGTTATTTATTTATTTATTTATTTATTTAAATTGGAAATCTGTTTTTCAGGCTGATAGCACTAAGTAGCTTCATCCACACCCCAACCCAAGTAGAAAATATCGTGGAGAGCTTTTGTGTTTGGTAATCCTTGTGTGTCCCTGTCTGTGAAAGGCACGTTCTGACATAGGCTGAGCTAAGCACCCATGCAGCGTTACATGCATCATTGTGCAATGAAGCTGCTAAGGGCACTTGTACAATGAAGCTTGATATTCCTGAGCCTCCTATAAGCATGTATCATGTAGGCATTTTTAAATATAAAGCTTTAACAGGAATAGGAAAGCTGTTTCAAACATATAGTTGGATATAAATTGTTCAGCTCAACTTTTATTTTTAATAAAAATGAAAAGGAAGTCAAATGTAATTTTTCAAATCTGTATTCTGGGGATTTTAGGTATGTGTATATGGAACACTAAAACTATGAAATAATATTTAGCTATACATATTAACTTATAAAGTCTTTAAGATTATTTTGGACATTTATAAGTTTTAATTCTTGTGGATATGATCATTAGAAGAGCTTAACATGAAAATTAATGTATTTGCATTGCTTAATGGATCACTTTGTCTAATATTTCACTTTTGTCCATAATAGATTAGATTTTGACCAAATATGTGGTCCTTTCATTCACATTCACTCTTTTTTAAAAAGAATTATTTATTTAATTTTATTTATCACCATCACCATCATTTTTAATTTACTACAGTGCACATGCACCTACCAGAGAGAGGCAGAAAGAGAGAAAGCAAACCTCCAGGTCAGAGACTCACACCACTGTTGGCCATGTGGGAGTCCAAAGCCTTAACCATCATGCCACCTGCTGGCTCCCACACTTAGTCTTTTATGAGGGTTTGTCAGCTGTGATCATTTGTGGACCACCGTGAATCGGTAATGATTGATGGGTCTTAGAATCAGTGTTTTCCCAATGATACTGTATAATGATGTAATTCTCACATCCATGGGAATCAGAGCTATTTCCTTTTGGAGACAGCACAAGCGGGGCCTGTTAAATCTTTTGCAATAGTCCGTAAGCTGATTGGCCTCTGGGAGTGTATCCCCTGTGGGAATATAATACTGCTATGGAAAAAAAAAATTAAGAGCTGGTGTTATAGGCAAGAATACTCAAGAAATTATGTTCTAGCAGACAGGTTTACATTCATTCTAGAAGCATATATCTTGTTTGTAGGAAGATCTTGAGAACTGGAGTTTTTCTTGGGAGTCTTGTTTTTAAAAAATAAATCTGAAGGAATTTAGTTTTGTTAAGTTTGATTTGGAATTATTTCACGGAAGGGTTTTTTTTAAACTTCTGTTCACGAGAATCGTGCACTGGGTGTAAAGTGAACAAGATGGCCTGGTTACATTGAGCTTGCTTTTTGCAAGGAGGGATGACAAAAAGTGGAAGGGCTAGGGAGGGTTTGAGGTGGGAGCTAATTCAGGGTCAGAGAAACCCTTCTAAGGAGGGTTATATAAACTCAACACTGATTGCCAAAGAGCAGGCCATGCAGAGATCTAAGCGAAGAGCATCCCAGGCTGAGTGAACATGAAATACAAAAAGGCTTTGGGATGGTGACTCGTTCAGAGCTCTGGCAGGAAATAGAATTTACTCAGAAGGTTCAAATGAGAACTTTGTGGAAGGATAAGCAACATGGACTGTGGTAAAGAAAGAAGCAATGTGAGGCACTTGGAAGGCTAGCAACAGCTGGGAGCCATTACTACCTGGAGGACAAGAAGGGGTACCAGAATGAGATGGTGTTTCTTAGAGGTGAGTGTGAGTTATACATGAAGTTAGAGTCTCCTAGCAGGCTGAGGCTGCCTTGAGAGGCAGCTCCTGCCAGAAGTATGTCACCCTCACCTGGTTTGCTATGCTGCTTATTGGCCAGACCCACTGAAAGCCAGCCAGCAAGGGCTCTCTAGAGATACAGACAACAGGGGAAGAGAAGGGAAAGAACAGATCTGGTGGTGGCTGTATGTGTGGCGTAAATGTCCCAAGTGGGAAGAAGTTTGTATTTTCCGGGGGAAGGGAAGAGGCTATTGTTTATAGCGCTGACTGCTTAAAGAAGAGTGTATATAACGTTAGAAAACATACAAATGAAAAGATCCCCCAGGAGACTTGGAGAGCTATGCAGCTTCCTCTTTTCCTCTTCACTTTTCTAGTTTTCCTTGTTCCATTGGCCATTCCATGCTGAGATCATCTGTGAAACTGATGGAGTTGCCATCTTTTGTCTGAACTCTGGAATAGAGAAGAAGAATTAAATCCTGTAGTTAAGAAAAGAGTATCCCTCTAGTTCTGGCTAGAGGCCTGCCTGTATGGATGAGAGAAGACTGCAGAATACTGTCACAAATAAATGGACGTGAGCGATACATGAATTGTACACTATAGTCTGACTGCCTGTGGATACTTGAAAGTACTCTTAAATAAAAAGTATTAACTTTTTAAATAAAAGTCTTCCCCTTTTTCCTAGATTTCTTTTCCTTTTTAACTTATCTGAACTCAATGGTTGCTTGGTTTTTAAACTGCCAACACAGCATGCTTTTGGAAGATCGTAAAAAGTTTCCTGATATTTATATTGGCATATGATTCAAATGGATTCTGAGTCCCTGCTCATTGGCCAGATATATGGCTATTTATGGAGATCTACCTTTTCTTCTAAGTCTTTTTTTTTTTTCTTGTCAATTTTAAAAAATATTTTTACTGCTTTATCATGAGAAGTATAACAAGCATGTCAGATTCTTTTTTATGGATTAACATTATTCCTACATAATAAAGCTAAATCAGAAGTCACAGTTTTACATTTGTACTTTTTTTTGGCATGTCTTCCATCTGTCCAGTGTTTCCTCCTCACATCCACCTTCTACCACGCGCTTTCTACCAACCACTCCTCCCGTACAGCCTCTAGCATCCATACCCATCCTCTCCGCCATCACTTCTTCAGTTCTCTCAACCTCTGCGATAGACACTCAGTACAAATTGAATAGGGATCTTCTAGGATAAAGACATTTTTGTTTTGTTTTTAAGTAGAGAGCTAATATTCTTTGGAATCTTAAGGCAGTTGGGGAAGAGACCAGTCACTGGTATAATGACTGTCGCTGGACTCCCATGTAATTGACCATGGTTCGTCCCGGACCTGGTGGCTTAAAACTCACGC